GTCACTCGCGGACCCGCGTGTGTGTGTGTCACTCGCGGACCCGCGTGTGTGTGTCACTCGCGGACCCGCGTGTGTGTGTGTCACTCGCGGACCCGCGTGTGTGTGTCACTCGCGGACCCGCGCGTGTGTGTGTCACTCGCGGACCCGCGTGTGTGTGTCACTCGCGGACCTGCGTGTGTGTGTCACTCGCGGACCCGCGTGTGTGTCACTCGCGGACCCGCGTGTGTGTGTGTCACTCGCGGACCCGCGTGTGTGTGTGTCACTCGCGGACCCGCGCGTGTGTGTGTCACTCGCGGACCCGCGCGTGTGTGTGTCACTCGCGGACCCGCGTGTGTGTGTCACTCGCGGACCCGCGCGTGTGTGTCACTCGCGGACCCGCGCGTGTGTGTGTCACTCGCGGACCCGCGTGTGTGTGTCACTCGCGGACCCGCGTGTGTGTGTCACTCGCGGACCCGCGCGTGTGTGTGTGTGTCACTCGCGGACCCGCGCGTGTGTGTGTGTGTCACTCGCGGACCCGCGTGTGTGTGTGTGTCACTCGCGGACCCGCGTGTGTGTGTGTGTCACTCGCGGACCCGCGTGTGTGTGTGTGTCACTCGCGGACCCGCCTGTGTGTGTCACTCGCGGACCCGCGTGTGTGTGTGTCACTGGCGGACCCGCGTGTGTGTGTCACTCGCGGACCCGCGTGTGTGTGTGTGTCACTCGCGGACCCGCGTGTGTGTGTCACTCGCGGACCCGCGTGTGTGTCACTCGCGGACCCGCGTGTGTGTGTCACTCGCGGACCCGCGCGTGTGTGTGTCACTCGTGGACCCACGTGTGTGTGTGTGTGTCACTCGCGGACCCGCGTGTGTGTCACTCGCGGACCCGCGTGTGTGTCACTCGCGGACCCGCGTGTGTGTCACTCGGGACCCGCGTGTGTGTGTGTGTGTCACTCGCGGACCCGCGCGGGGTGTGTCACTCGCGGACCCGCGTGTGTGTGTCACTCGCGGACCCGCGCGCGTGTGTCACTCGCGGACCCGCGCGCGTGTGTGTGTCACTCGCGGACCCGCGCGTGTGTGTGTCACTTGTGGACCCACGTGTGTGTGTGTGTGTCACTCGCGGACCGCGTGTGTGTCACTCGCGGACCGGCGTGTGTGTGTGTGTGTCACTCGCGGACCCGCGTGTGTGTGTGTCACTCGAGGACCCGCGTGGTGTGTCACTCGCGGACCCGCGTGTGTGTGTGTCACTCGCGGACCCGCGTGTGTGTGTCACTCGCGGACCCGCGCGTGTGTGTGTCACTCGCGGACCCGCGTGTGTGTCACTCGCGGACCCGCGTGTGTGTGTCACTCGCGGACCCGCGTGTGTGTCACTCGCGGACCCGCGTGTGTGTGTGTGTGTCACTCGCGGACCCGCGTGTGTGTGTGTCACTCGCGGACCCGCGCGTGTGTGTGTCACTCGCGGACCCGCGCGTGTGTGTGTCACTCGCGGACCCGCGTGTGTGTGTCACTCGCGGACCCGCGCGTGTGTGTCACTCGCGGACCCGCGCGTGTGTGTGTCACTCGCGGACCCGCGTGTGTGTGTGTCACTCGCGGACCCGCGTGTGTGTGTCACTCGCGGACCCGCGTGTGTGTGTCACTCGCGGACCCGCGCGTGTGTGTGTGTGTCACTCGCGGACCCGCGTGTGTGTGTCACTCGCGGACCCGCGTGTGTGTGTGTGTCACTCGCGGACCCGCGTGTGTGTGTGTGTCACTCGCGGACCCGCGTGTGTGTGTGTGTCACTCGCGGACCCGCCTGTGTGTGTCACTCGCGGACCCGCGTGTGTGTGTGTCACTGGCGGACCGCGGTGTGTGTGTCACTCGCGGACCCGCGTGTGTGTGTGTGTCACTCGCGGACCCGCGTGTGTGTGTCACTCGCGGACCCGCGTGTGTGTCACTCGCGGACCCGCGTGTGTGTGTGTCACTCGTGGACCCACGTGTGTGTGTGTGTGTCACTCGCGGACCCGCGTGTGTGTCACTCGCGGACCCGCGTGTGTGTCACTCGCGGACCCGCGTGTGTGTGTGTGTGTCACTCGCGGACCCGCGCGTGTGTGTGTCACTCGCGGACCCGCGTGTGTGTGTGTCACTCGCGGACCCGCGCGCGTGTGTCACTCGCGGACCCGCGTGCGTGTGTGTGTCACTCGCGGACCCGCGTGCGTGTGTGTCACTCGCGGACCCGCGTGTGTGTGTGTCACTCGCGGACCCGCGTGTGTGTGTGTCACTCGCGGACCCGCGTGTGTGTGTCACTCGCGGACCCGCGTGCGTGTGTGTGTCACTCGCGGACCCGCGTGCGTGTGTGTGTCACTCGCGGACCCGCGTGTGTGTGTCACTCGCGGACCCGCGTGCGTGTGTGTGTCACTCGCGGACCCGCGTGCTTGTGTGTGTCACTCGCGGACCCGCGTGCGTGTGTGTCACTCGCGGACCCGCGTGTGTGTGTGTCACTCGCGGACCCGCGCGTGTGTGTGTCACTCGCGGACCCGCGTGTGTGTGTCACTCGCGGACCCGCGCGTGTGTGTGTCACTCGTGGACCCACGCGTGTGTGTGTCACTCGTGGACCCGCGCGTGTGTGTGTCACTCGCGGACCCGCGCGTGTGTGTGTCACTCGCGGACCCACGTGTGTGTGTGTCACTCGCGGACCCGCGCGTGTGTGTGTCACTCGCGGACCCGCGCGTGTGTGTGTCACTCGTGGACCCACGTGTGTGTGTGTCACTCGTGGACCCGCGTGTGTGTGTGTGTCACTCGCGGACCCGCGTGTGTGTGTGTGTGTCACTCGTGGACCCACGTGTGTGTGTGTCACTCGTGGACCCGCGTGTGTGTGTGTGTCACTCGCGGACCCGCGTGTGTGTGTGTGTCACTCGTGGACCCGCGTGTGTGTGTCACTCGCGGACCCGCGTGTGTGTCACTCGCGGACCCGCGTGTGTGTGTGTCACTCGTGGACCCGCGTGTGTGTGTCACTCGCGGACCCGCGTGTGTGTGTCACTCGCGGACCCGCGTGTGTGTGTCACTCGTGGACCCGCGTGTGTGTGTGTGTCACTCGTGGACCCGCGTGTGTGTGTCACTCGCGGACCCGCGTGTGTGTGTCACTCGTGGACCCGCGTGTGTGTCACTCGCGGACCCGCGTGTGTGTGTGTCACTCGCGGACCCGCGTGTGTGTGTGTCACTCGCGTAGCCGCGTGTGTGAGTGTCACTCGCGGACCCGCGTGCGTGTGTGTGTCACTCGCGTAGCCGCGTGCGTGTGTGTGTCACTCGCGGACCCGCGTGCGTGTGTGTCACTCGCGGACCCGCGTGCGTGTGTGTCACTCGCGGACCCACGTGTGTGTGTCACTCGCGGACCCGCGCGCGTGTGTGTCACTCGCGGACCCGCGTGTGTGTGTGTCACTCGCGGACCCGCGCGTGTGTGTGTCACTCGCGGACCCGCGCGTGTGTGTGTCACTCGTGGACCCGCGTGTGTGTGTGTCACTCGTGGACCCGCGTGTGTGTGTGTGTCACTCGCGGACCCACGTGTGTGTGTCACTCGCGGACCCGCGCGCGTGTGTGTCACTCGCGGACCCGCGTGTGTGTGTGTCACTCGCGGACCCGCGCGTGTGTGTGTCACTCGCGGACCCGCGCGTGTGTGTGTCACTCGTGGACCCGCGTGTGTGTGTGTCACTCGTGGACCCGCGCGTGTGTGTGTGTCACTCGCGGATCCGCGCGTGTGTGTCACTCGCGGACCCGCGTGCGTGTGTGTGTGTCACTCGCGGACCCGCGTGTGTGTGTGTCACTCGCGGACCCGCGTGCGTGTGTGTGTGTCACTCGCGGATCCGCGTGTGTTCGCTGTGCGTGTTCACTTAAGAATCGGCTCACGAGCACAGGCCAGACAGACTGTAGGGGCAGGTGCTGTTAGCGAGCACCTGTGAAGGCCGACACGGTGCACGAGGGGGTGGGTGGCCAGCACCACGCCGGGCCACCTTTGTCTCCCCAGTGGCGATGTTTACTGCACACCGCATCGGGTTACTCATTTAAGGCTGAGTCGACCTCGGGGGAGGCCCGGGACCGGTTCGGATAATCGTTGTTGATATTGGCCATCGATGGGTTATGCAGCGCAGCGCGCTAACCACTGCACCGCCACTCTCCCACACATACCCACGTGCACACGTACTCGCACACATACGCGTGCATGCGTACACGCGAATGTACACACGCACACGTGCGCACACACGCACACACGCACATGTGCACACACGCACACACGTGCACACATGCACACGTGCGTACACGTGCACACACGCACACGTGCACACACGCACACGTACACGTGCACACACGCACACGCGCACACACGTACACGTGTGCAGACGCACACGTGCACACACGCACACGCGAGCGTGCGCACGTGCGTCCGTGTCCGTTCCGCCTCGTCACTAACTCCGCGTGTTCTCGCCGCCAGGTGTTTGTGCCGACGTGAAATCGACCCGCGGGGGGGGGGGGGTGGAGGTGGAACGCCAGAGCCGGCGGGGATTCCACCGCATTTTGAACGCTTCAAGACGTTTTTTTCTTTCGTCGCTGTTGGCGTCTTGAGGAAATCGTCGTTCCAGCTCCCGTCGGCCGAAGGGAAGAGGGGCGAGTGGAGAAACACTGACGCACTGCGGGAAGTTTGGCCGAGTGGGGCAACACGCGGCCGCCTCCTCCTCCTCCGAAAATAGTCGGAGTGGCCGGCGTTCGTGAACAAAGTCATCGGGTGACCGATCCGTGGGACGTGCCTCCAGGCCACATCAACCGCCGCCACCACCGCCACCACCCACCGCCGCCACCACTGCCGCCACCACCACCCACCACCACCACCGCTGTGACCACCACCACCGCCACCACCGCCGTGACCGTGACCGCGACCGCCACCACCGCCGCTGCGGTCAACGCCATCGAGTTTATTTTTCTCCCCGACGAACGTAATCGATCTTCGAGGATTTCCCCACCCACCCGCCCCCCACCCCATTTTATTTCCTTCCTTGGCGGGGTAGGGGGAGAGAGGATTGACGTGGGAGGAGGAGGAGGGGGGGGACGGGGGGGGAGGTAGCAGCAGTGACGACGACGGAGAAGGAGGAGGAGGATTTGGCGAGCAAGGTAGCTGAGGGGTTGGGTGGGCTGTGTGCGGGTGGGGGGTGGAGGAGGAAAGGGGGCGGTGGTGCACGGGCAGATTCGAGGAACCAGGGTTTGCGCAACGGGACGAAGTCGTCGACAACTTTCTATTAAAAGGCCGCCGCTCTCGGCGGATTCCCGGCACACGGCCCGGCTCCTGACTCCGGCTCCTGACTCCGGCTCCTGACTCTGGCTGCTGACTCCTCCGGCTCCGGCTCCTGACTCCGGCTGCTGACTCCTCCGGCTCCGGCTCCTGACTCCGGCTCCTGACTCCGGCTCTGGCTCCTGACTCCGGCTCCTGACTCCGGCTCCGGCTCCTGACTCCAGCTCCGGCTCCTGACTCCGGCTCCGGCTCCGGCTCGTGTTGTTTCAATGTTTTTTTTGTCTCCAACGACAATCTCGCAATAGGCTTTTATTTCCCACGCGCCCGTCAATTGTTTACCGTTAGCATTGTTGTCGTCGCCCGGGAGCACGACGACGACAAAGCGTACGCGTCGACATGGATGACGAATCTCCGTCTCGTCCGTCGGCCCTCCTGTGAAACAAAATAAAAACACAAGCGGCGGAGTTCCACATCGACCCGGACAGCCGAATCCGCGGCCAGGATCCACGCGGGGCCTTCCCCCTCGGCCACCGCCGGCGCCTGGCACGACCTCCGCCGACCTCCGACGACCTCCACTGCCGCCACCGGCCGGCCGCGACTTTGCGACCCCCGATCCCGTCAGCTCCCCCCCCCACCCCCCTCCACCACTCCCTCACCTGCCGGATGGGACGAGGCCCCCGCTTCCCCCGCCAATGACTTGCCTGGAGGAGAGCCGGCCCCAGCTGCCCCACCGCCCCGCGGCGGCGGCGGCACCGTCGTCGTGCAAGCGCGAGCCGCAGCGGGGCCCGGCGGCCACCGCCGCCAGCACCACGACGCCCGTGCCAGCGGCGGCGATGCGCCACCTCCAGCTGTCAGGTGCACTGCGACCCCCCCCCCTCTCCCCCGCTCTCTCCCCCGCTCTCTCCCCCGCTCTCTCCCCCGCTCTCTCCCCCGCTCTCTCCCCCGCTCTCTCCCCCGCTCTCTCCCCCGCTCTCTCCCCCGCTCTCTCCCCCGCTCTCTCCCCCGCTCTCTCCCCCGCTCTCTCCCCCGCTCTCTCCCCCGCTCTCTCCCCCACTCTCCTCTCCGCCCTCTCCCACCGTCTTGCGCTCTCCGCAACTTTCCTCTCCTCTCCTCCGCTCTCCCCCGCTCTCGATCCCCCGCACACACACATGCCCACACACACATGCCCACACACACACACACACATGCCCCCACACACACACACATGCCCACACAAACAACACACATGCCCACACACACACACACATGCCCACTGTCACCTTGAGGGTCGTTTGGTACCGGTGAAGTCGTGGATCGTGCGGTGCCGGGTGTCGGCGCGTGCCGTACGGGGCCGGTTCACCGCACATTACCGGCAGGGATAGAGCCGTCAGGGCGAGGGGCTTGCGGCGTGGGCAGGAGCCAGAGGTCGCAAACGGGTTTTGATTCCTTACCCATACTCGGCCGCACCAGGGTCGCAAACGGGTACCCGTACCCGGCCGGGTACCCGGCCGGGTACGGGTAGCCGGGTATCGGGTAGGGTACGGGTATCGGGTAGGGTACGGGTATCGGGTACCCGGTTGCGACCTCTGGCAGGAGCTGGTGGACCTCGTCCCCCCCCCCCCCCGCTGCTACGCGCGTAGGGGAGGGGGTGGGGGGGGACGTCGCCCCCCTTGCTCATTGCGCCGTGCCGGCCGGATGCCCGTCGGAGTCCGTCGCCGCGACGGCGCTAATGTTAGAAGTGCGGTGTGGTGGTTGCCGTGAACCCGGCGACCCGAGTTCCATGCCCGGCCGTGGCCAACACCGGTGGCCCTGGGTGATATGTGAACCCGTCTCGAGTTCCGCCCGCCCGCCCCGTCACCGTCACGCACAGATCGGCGCGGTGAAGTATGGTCAAACGACCCCCGCGGGACCAAACCTTAGTCCGGCGATGGATTCACTCGGGGCTGTGAATCTCAACGTGTGCGTCTGGGTGGTTCGTGCTGACGCTGAGGAGTTGAGAGGCGTGGGTTCGCGTCACGGTTCTGGCCGGGGTTCGGGCTGAAAGCGAGCGCCAGGGTTGGAGTGAAGGTTCGCGTCGAGGCCAGGGTGAGGCTGGAGAAGGTGTCTTCGTAGGGCTACAAGAACAACAAGAAGAAGAATGTAGAACGCGCCGTTCCATCCTCAGATCCCATGAGAAGCAGGAAACAACAGCGGAACCCGGGGGGGGGGGGGGGGGGGGCACCTCCCGACCGAGATTGGCGCGCCGTTTCAATGAGACGGGGTTTGCAAGGCAGACTTGAGCACATCTGCCGACTACGATTGCCCCCATTGCAAGTGGCTTGGGTGCCACGCTGACAGAAGCGCCGATCGCCGGCAGCGTCAATCGCTGATCTCGTTATTGTGGTGAATAATGGTCACAGCGATCAATTGTTTTAAAGTCGTCGAGGGGACCCCCGTATAAACAGTCCCTGTGACGAGGGTCAGGGTTTTCTGGTCAATGTCATAATGGTAGAGGGAGAGAGATGAGTGATGGGTGATGAGAGAGTGAGTGAGTGATGAGTGATGAGAGAGAGTGAGTGATGAGTGATGAGAGAGTGAGAGAGAGAGTGATGAGTGAGTGAGTGATGAGTGATGAAAGAGAGTGAGAGATGAGTGATGAGTGATGAGAGAGTGAGAGAGAGAGTGATGAGTGAGTGAGTGATGAGTGATGAGAGAGAGTGAGAGATGAGTGATGAGTGATTAGAGAGAGTGAGAGAGTGATGAGTGATGAGAGAGTGAGTGAGTGAGAGAGTGATGAGTGAGAGAGTGATGAGTGAGAGAGTGATGAGTGAGTGATGAGTGAGTGATGAGTGAGTGTGCACGTGTGAGTGAGTGTGCACGTGTTAGTGAGTGTGCACGTGTTAGTGAGTGTGCACGTGTGAGTGGCCGAGCGAGTGACCGAGTGAGTTGGCGGTGGGGAGCGAGAGAGCGGGTGAGCGGGCGGGTGAGCGGGTGAGCGAGCGGGGCGAGCGAGCGGGCGAGCGGGCGGGCGAGCGAGCGGGTGGGCGGGCGGACGGGCGGAAGGAGCGAGAGAGCGAGCCATCCTGCCAAGGTCGAAGCCGATGCTCCGTGTGGTTTTGTGTTGAAATTGGGGGGTGGGGGGGGGGGTATTTGGAGCGTAGATAATAACGATCGCACAGCGCAGCGAAACCGGAGCGCACCGCGGCACGTGTCCATTACGGGCTGGCAGTGGCGACGTGGACGCTGGCAGCGATGAGCAGGCGATGACACTGATGGAGACGAAGCTGGTGACATTAACACAAATCCATCAAGGACACGGGCCTCCCCCCCTCCCCCGACCCGAACAAGAAAAATCCGTGATCGGTGACATTTCACGAAACGGCCCTTGCATCAGAGCACATGAGGAGAGACACGGGGAGCTCTGCAGACTTGGTGAGAGAGCGGCGCGGTACGAGGTGGAGACTGGGGGGGAGGGGGGGGGGTGCTGATGGCAATGACATTTGTTCACGTGCGTTCGCTCTCTCCCCTGATTGGCCGGCGTTCGTCGCAAGGCAGTCCCCCCTCCCGCCCACCCCCATCACTGCTGTAATCAATCTGCAGTGTTGACGTCATCATCATCGTCATCGTCGTTGTCGTTGTTGTTGTTGTCTTGCTGCTCTCCGAGGGATCTTGGTCGGCTCCGTTGAGGCGGGGGGCGGGGGGAGGGGGTGGGGGGCGGGGCGAGAGGTGGGGCTTGAGCAAGAAGAGGGCGTGTCCTAAAAAGGAAAGGCGCAAGGGAGGCGGAGCAAGGGAGAGGCGACGACCTGAGGATGAAGGGGGGGGGGGGGTGAAAAAAGAGCTTCATAGCTCATCGGATTCCTCCGGCGTGAATAAATATCTGCTTGTGATTTTACTCGCCTTAGTTTAACACGTAGCAGGCTTTCGTGACCAATATTATTCATAATCAACGTTTTTGGGTTTAGATCGCGTTATTTATAAATGTGTCGTAACCCTCCACCACCCGACACGGCCAATCAGTAAAACAAGTGTCACGTTGACAAAAGACAAAATAGTTCACTGCTTTAGCCCCACACCGGTGCAGTGTTGAAGCGTGAAACCACAACATTTACAATTTTTGAGTAGCATGACGTTTCGCTGGTAATTGCATCCAGCATCATCGGGCAATTCGCGTTGTATAACATTCTTATCACCCTCCCCCCCAGGCTGGTACTGGGGCTCCCTGACGGCGAGTGACGCGCGGCAGATGCTGCGCCAGAGTGCGGAGGGCACGTTCCTGGTGCGCGACTCAACGCACCCAGACTACCTGTTCACGCTGTCGGTGAAGACCAGCCGGGGCCCCACCAACGTGCGCATCGAGTGCGCCGGCGGCAAGTTCAGCCTCGACTCGGCCTTCGTGGTGCGCCCCAAAGTGCTGCAGTTCGACGACGTCGTGGGCCTCGTGCAGTTCTACGTGGGCGCCAGCCAGCTGGAGGCCGATGCGCACGGCGCCGCCGCCGATGCCGCCGCCGGCGCCGCTAGCGCTGGCGGCGGCGGTGCTTCTCACCGCGTTGGTGTCGCCGCAGCCGTCGTCAACAGCGTCGGCGCCGGCGCCGGTTCTGCAAGCGTCGTCGCTGCTGCCACGGCCGCCGCCGGCGCCGTTAATAATGTGGGTGGTGGCGGCGCTATTACCGGCAGTGGTGCCGCCGCGGCCGCCGCCGATAACGCCGCTACCTCGGCCGTGGACGACGGCGCCCACGGGCAGGACGGTGCCGATGGGCCGGCGCTCCGACCGCAGCAGCCGGCGGCGACAACGGCGCCAGCGGCGGCGCGGCCGCAGCGACCGACATTGCCGCAGGAAGCGGAGCCGGATGATGACGCGATTGCGCCGACCCCGCTGGCGCCACCACCACCACCACCACCACCACAACAACAACCACAACAACAACAACCGCTGCTCCCACCGCAGCCGCCGCCGCCCCCTCCCCTGCCGCCGCTGGCGGCGCCGGACATCGCGTTACCGCCGGAAGACGGCGCCGCCGCCGCAGTCGCGGCAGCGCCGGCTCGTGCCGCCACCGCGGCGGCGGCGGCGTCGGTGCAGCTGAAGCTGACGCGGCCGTACTACAGCTCGGCGCCCACGCTGCAGCACCTGAGCCGCACCGTCATCAACCGCAACGCGCGCACCGTCGCCGAGCTGCCCCTGCCCGGGCGCCTCAAGGAGTACCTGGACGAGTATCCCTACCGGCTCTAGCGCGCGGCCCGCGCTTGGGGTCCCGAGGGTCGGTCGGCCGGCGGGGGTGGGACGGGAGATTGTGGGCCGGGCGAGGTGGGCAGGGGGCGCGGGGTTTGGCCACCGCCACCGCCGGCTTCGTCGTGCGCCGGTTGGCGGAGGGAGCGACGCGTGGGGCCTGCGTGCGCGCCGCACTCGCGCACTGCGGTCACACCACATGCACCGCACTCACACCACACACGCACCGCACACACTACACTGATCACACTCACACCACATTCACACCACACGCACCACACTCACCGCACTCACACACACCACTCACACACACCACTCACACACACCACTCACACACCACACTCACACACCACTCACTCAACACTCACTCACCACTCACACACACACACCACTCACACACACTACTCACTCACCACTCACACTCACCATTCACACACCACTCACACACCACTCACACAACACACACACACCACTCACACACACCACACACACACACACTACTCACACACCACTCACACACACACCCCACTCACACACACCACTCACACACATCACACACCACACACACACACAGACCGCACACGCTCCCCTCTCTCACGCACGCAGCCTCCCACCGCAGGTCACCATCCCTCGTCGCAGCCGTGGCCGAGAATGCAAGCAGGGCGATAATTCCATCCGCCCGATTAAAACCACACGGGAAGCAGAGGAGACGCCAAGCGGTTGCTGGTGGTGGGGGAGGAGGTGGTGGGGGCGACGAGGGGGGTGGTGGTGAAACAGAGAAGACGATGAGGAGGCAGGAGGAGGAGGAGGAGAAGGAGTCTCGTTCCCTGCGGCTCCACAACTCCGATGCCGAGTTTAGTGGTTTTACGGGGGGGGGGGGGGGGGGGTGAGTGGGGGGGGGGGGTCTGTGGGTTGCGTGGACCACGAACGCGCCCCCCCCCCCCACCAACTGTTGGACTTTGATACCTAGCGTCACCCCCCCCCGTCCTCCACCACCACCAACTCCAAACTCCAGACTGAACCCAGAGGTATGCGGCGACGATGACCATGGTGGTGACGGTGGCGGTGGTGGTGACGATCGTGGTGGTGACGGTGGTGAAGAGGACATCTCAAGATGCACCACTCCATTGCTGGAGTGAGGAGGACTTGCAACAAAGGCATCTTCTTCATCATCATCATCAGCAGCCATGGGCAGTCCACTGCTGGACAAAGTGGAGCCGCCCTCCGCCAGCGTCTGGTGCGATCACGTGGCGTGACGAGCGCATCGTCCGTGGACCAACCCGTGAACTTATGGCGACGGAATCCCGGCAAGCGGCAGCAGCCGCCCTCCCTCCGCAGGGGTCAACGTGCGCGTCTCGCCGTGACCCCGGTGACCCCGGATCCCGACATCCCAGCAAGGCCCCGGTCTGACTTTGACTCTGGTCAGCTCCCGCAGCGATAGCCTGCGATTCGCTCGGCCAAAATGCCAGTCATGCTCCGGCGAAACTGCGGGTCCGGTCCGGGCACACTGCGGTTGTTTCTGGGAGAAAATCGAGTCCAGGTCCGAAGAGAAAAACTCTACAGCCCGGTGCAACTCTCTCCGATCTGTTCTAGATTTGAAGCTTTCGTGACTGCCCGGATTCATACTCTTAGGTTTCGTCGGTAAAGTCACGTAGGTTAAAACATTAAATTAAAATTAATGAAAGTAATAGTAGAAATAAAATAATTATTTTATTTAATAGGATAAAATAATTATTTTATTTCTCACGTGGGTAAAAATTTAAATTAATTAAAGTAATAAGAAAAATAAAATATTTATTTTAAATTATTTTAATTCTATTATTACTTTTATTAATTTTAATTTTATTTGTATAATTAAAGAATTATTTTATTTATATTATTACTATTATTCGTTTTAATTCAATTTTTTACCTACGTGAGAAATAAAATAATTATTTTATTTCCATCCATTCTTTCATAAATTTTAATTAATTTTTTTTACCTACGTGACTTTACCGATGCAACTCTCCGATCTGTGTCCGCTCCCTCGAGGCGCGTGGCCCAAAACGTTGACAACCCAGCAGCGTGCGCTGGCTGCCCCGGAACCTTGTCAGTACAGCAAGCGGGACGAATGCAACAGCTTCCCCCCCGCGCCGTTCCCACCCACCCACCCACTCCATGTCACCCCCCCCCCCCACTTAGTCTGAGAAGGACTTCTATTATATTACCGCCACGGTTGATGGCGGTGACGATGATGGCGATGTGGTTGGTGTTTGAAGGTTGCTGGTGGTGCTATGGGCTTGCGTGTAAATAACAGTGCGCGTGCACACGTGAACGTGTACATCTCTCTCTCTCTCTGTGTGTGTCTCTGTTTAGACGTGAGGTTGTTCTTTTACCCGGCTGTATTATTCTTGTAAATGTTGTCCCTAGAAAATGAAATATTAATAGGATAGGCCCTGCATATTTAGATATTTTTAGTGCAAGCAGAGAGAGAGAGTGCGTGTGTGCGTGCGTCTGCTGCGTGCGTGTGGGAAGCGGTGGTGCAGCGGTTAGCGCTACGCTGCGCTACGATCTCGGCAACCCGAGTTCGATTCCCGCTCTCGGCCACTAGCACCGGTGACGATTATCTGAACCGGTCCTGGGCTTCCCCCCCCCCCCAGGTCGACCCAGCCTGAAATGAGTACCTAGTGCGACGTGTATAGAACATCGCCACTGGGGATACAAAGGCGGTCGGGCGTGGTGTTGGCCACCCACCCCCTCGTGTGCCGTTCCGGCCTTCATAGGTGCTGCTCACTAACAGCACTTGCCCTTACAGTCTATTCAGGCTATACGGGTGTGGGGGGGGGGCTTTGTCTTTGTGTGTGTGCGTGCACGTGTTTGCATCACAGCAAACACGTGCGAATCAGTGTGTCTACAGATGCGCGGACGTGTCGGTCTGTGAGTGTATCTGTCTGAGTGCGGTGGCGTGCGTACACACACACACGCACGCCACCGGTACGTACACCTGAGTATTAGTCAGCACGTGCGTGTGTGGTGCTGTGCACGCACGCAGCCTCGCAGGTATCGGCCATCCAGGTTCGATTCCCGATCCAAACCACCACCTCCTCCTCTAGGTACACTCGGCCGTGAGTTTCGCCATCAATCTGGTGACGGAGTCGAACAAACGCGTCGGGCATCGTAGCGCGGTGCGCAAACCACCGCGACGGGTACCGTGCACAGATCCCCCTGTATAGTATAGCCTCCGAGACCGCAGGGGCAAGTGCTGCGTTGGGGAGCGCCGCGTAAACGAGGAGGCATGGTGCATGAGGTGCGACGTGGACACCACCACCAGGCGCGCCCGTCCGCCTTTGTCTCCCCGCTTGCTGTGGATCACACGCTGCGATAGGCTGAGTCATCCTGGAGGAGGCCCAGGCACGGTTCGGATACCACGTTCCACTGATCTTGTACGCCCGGGTGTGGAATTGAACCCGGGTGGACACCGCACTCACCACCACCACCACCACCCAGCGATGTCTCTGCGGTGCTCGTGCCAGGCTAGGTGCACGTGCAGGTTATCGGAGTGTGTTGGAAGTTTCTCGCCACGGGTGGACGTGGGTGGACCGACTCGGACGAGCCACAGCAGACGCTGCACCAGCTGCGTCACCACCAAACCGCGCCAACTCTCGCCGCGTTTTATCCGCCCCGGCGCTCCGCCCGTTGTTGTGAGCGTCGCTCCTCCGGGCTTCCGTTGTTGCTGGAGGTGGGGGATGGACTACCGACCCGGCGTGCCGTCAGAGTGCACCTAGCCTGGCACTGCCCCGGTCAGCGTCCTCCTCTTCCACAGCGGCCGATCCGGAAAACTACGCTCAGCTCCACGGCATCGCTGTAGCCAGTGGTGTGATGGGTCAGGCAGGCGAGGGAGGGGGGCTTGGTGGCCAAAGCTGCCAACACTGTGAGATTTGCCATCGGCAGCAGTGTCAAAGAATAAAGCGACTCATTTTTCGATTTAAAGCTTTCGTGACTGCAGGGATTCGCCTTCTTGGTTCTTTCGGTAAAGTCACGTAGAATGGACATAATAATAATATAATAATACAAAAAATAAAAATACAACATAATAAAATAAAATAATATAAGGCTTTATTTAAATTATTTTGTTATTATTTTATTATTTCCATTCTACGTGACTTTACCGAGAGAACCAGAAAGCGACTCAATTCGCAGCGTTAAATGTTCGAGACCGCGCGCGTAACGAGGACGCGATGAGGGCAAGAGGGGGGGGGGGGCAGCGATGTCGAACAGCGTCGAGGTGCGACCGTGCGAGACGGATACAAATAGTGGGGGGCCCCCACCTGAGCAATTGTCGCGCCCCCCCTGAGCTGATAATGTAGTTACCACGCCACTGATAATGTAGTGACTACGCCACTGATAATGTAGTTACTACACCACTGATAATGTAGTTACTATGCTATGCCACTGATAATGTAGTTACTACACCACTGATAATGTAGTTACTACACCACTGATAATGTAGTTACTACGCCACTGATAATGTAGTTACTACACTACTGATAATGTAGTTACTACGCCACTGATGATGTAGTTACTACACCACTGATAATGTAGTTACTACACCACTGATAATGTAGTCACTACACCACTGATAATGTAGTCACCACGCCACTGATAATGTAGTCACTACACCACTGATAATGTAGTTACTACGCCACTGGTAATGTAGTCACTACACCACTGATAATGTAGTTACTACACCACTGATAATGTAGTTACTATGCTATGCCACTGATAATGTAGTTACTACACCACTGATAATGTAGTTACTACACCACTGATAATGTAGTTACTATGCTATGCCACTGATAATGTAGTCACTACACCACTGACTGTACCGCATCAGCTCCATCTCCTCTCCAGCCCCACCTCTCTCCTTCCCAACAGAAGGCCCACGACCGGTTCAGATATCACTCGGTCACGATGCTGTCCCGAGGTGAACCCCAGATGGGCCGGGCTCGGAACGCGGGCGCGCTAACCACTGCGCCACCGCTCTCACCCCTCCGCACGCACCACAAGCAAAGCGGTCGTGCATGGAACAGAGAGAGAGAGAGAAACAACCTGAGGATTTCTTCTTGGTTCTTTCGGTAAAGTCACGTAGAATGGAAATAATAAAATAATAAAAAGAAAACATTATACAATAAAATAATAAAATAAATCATGAATTCTTTTATTATGTTTTATTTTTATTATTTCCATTCTACGTGACTTTACCGAAAGAACCAAGAAGATGAATCCCTGCAGTCACGAAAGAAGCTTTAAATCGAAACCTGAGGATATAATCTTGTTTTTGAAGCTTTCGTGACTGCACGAATCCATCCTCTTAGGTTCTTTCGGTAAAGTCACGTGTGCGAAACAAATAAGAATCGATTGCAACGCGAGCAATCGTCATCAGGTGAGAGAACCACAGCGAGAGAGAGAGACAAACTGCTGCAGTGGGAGAGGTGTCGTTACCCTTTGCTGACAACGAAACACGAGTTGGTGTGGAGATTTCCAAGCAGCAAATGGGAACGTTAAAATAATAAATTAAATAATAGCATATTACGACGTTTCGATTGCAACACAAGCAATCATCATCAGGTGTAATGAAATAGCGACATAAAATCTAACCAGAAAACTATAGACAGACATATTAGCAGACAGATATCACCAAGATACATAATAAATGGGAACGTCTCGAAGGGGAATTCGCGTTGGCTGCACGAGCCACGCAGCGGTGACTTGCGGCGAGCGTGCAAACGAGACGTGCACCGACTCTGATATTTTTTCAGTTTTCATTTATTATTCTAATTGATGATCGGGTACATCGCCCTGTGAGCCACGCGGCTCTTGACTCGGGGGGCGCAACGAAAACAGGAAACATCTCC